TGAAGCATTTATTCGGTTTATCACTCCAAGTGGAACACTATATTCCCCTCAATCTTCAGAGAAGGTGTGCTTACACCTCATGTGCTGTTACACTCATTATTCAAACCAGGTTATTGTCATTTTGGTTTCCCCTCAGCCATAAAAATCCCAGTTCAGCAGTCCAGGACAGATTGAGAAGTCAAGAACCCAATGTCCATCTGGGTAAATCTGTGCAGCACACAGATCTCAAACGCATGCTGTAATAAGCACATAACCTCTACACCTTGGGCTGCACTAGTCCTTATTTACCTTTATAGTCTGAAAGAGCCCAAGCAGCACCATTCGCACAGCTTCAGTTCCCTGGAGGCAGCCTGATTGCCTTTCATGCAGGCAGCAATTAAAGACTGCTCTAACAAGCACAGCATCACCTCTTATGTGTGCCCTGGCACAGGTTTTGGAGAAAGGACAGAGCTGCAGATGGTGAGCTGTCATCTATGAGAAACAGAAGAGATTCCCAGTGTCCCTGTGAATACACAGGGATATCCCACCCAAAGTTACTAAGTTTTTGTTTCCATATCTAGTAAATAAAAGCTGGGAGTAAGCTACATGGAACTGCACAGGGACAAAGCAGTAGGTCTCCTGACCTTCCTGCAACCAGAGAAACTTCCAGGGGAAAAGCAACCACCGGATGAATGAACACTCTGGACAAGACCTGGTCATTCTCAGAGACCTCTAACTTTCAAATCAATGTTCCTTTAGAGGAAGTGACAACAAGACTTGGATATATCCACGACAAAGGTGTACATGCATGAGCACGTGTCCATAAAAAGGTAGATAGGGCACTTAGTAAGGATTATTACTGGAACATGATGAGCAAAGGACCCAGTCACCATAAAAAGGATTAATATCTGCTGCTGACTCCCACTTCAAATGGGCTCTTTTGTTGGAAGCATCAGTGCTGGTTCCAAAATCATTGTTGTGTCCAAAGGAATCAGCAGAGCTGAAGCCATGAGGCAATGGGTGTCAGTGCTGGAGGGTGCTTCTGAAACTGGCACTCATGGAAGAAGAAAAGAAAAAGATGCAAAACATGAAAGAGAGAAGAAAATAACTTGCTGTACTAGAGCCAAGGAAATTGAGGCCTGAAGAAATGGCATAAGTTCGTTCCTTGGCATCACTTGCACTTCTAGCTGCAATACAGAGGCTACGTGAGGAATCTGCTACTCAATATAAAGCCAAGGAGATTCCTCAGTCCCCAGCCAATTGTGTCTGGCAGTGCCAGACGTGAGCAGCATAAGATACCCCTTCGGGTATTTAGTGAGAGAGAACAAGCCCATCTTGGTATCTTCAGTTGTAAGAATCTAGCTCAGCTATGAAGCGTAAAGCTGTTAAGTGTTCAGAAACCGTATGATCCTGGTTAATTAAAAACCTCCAGCAGCACAGCAGAAGCCCAGCAAGCTGCATCCTTGACCATCCAAGTAAGATTTGCTCTGAAAGAAGGCAACAGAGAGCAATGTTCAGCTCTAGCAGAATCACAAGTTCGGAAATGGGTCTCAAAGCTCTTTTTTAGCTCTAGGCTCCAACATTACGTCTGAGGTGTTCACTGATACTATTAGCATGATAAACTACACTTTGAGTTCAGGCAATGACCCCGACCCTTACATGACACTGCTTGCATGCCCTGCAGCGAGCACAGCTTCACTGCATTTGCCATGGCTCTGTAGCCACGGAAATACTCACCAAAACGGTAAGAGACCAGCAGAAAGTTTGGGTTTCAGGAAATCTGTCCAGCAGCTGAAATAAGGCTGTTTATCATGATGTTACTTCCCTTTCGCATCCTCTTTTGGGAGCACTGGTGCAGAGCTGGAAGTAATGTCGTGTTCCTTTCCCCGCCAATAGGAATAAAATCAGGCTGCTGGCATCCTGACAGCGAGGTGGCAGTACCGAGGAAAGCAAGCCAAGCAGACATCTATAACGCTTCCCTCCTTATCTTCAGCGTGATTCATAAGGTAACCAGCAGTTACTATGATATCCTTCTGCAAAATGAACCGCAATTCCCCCCCAGCTTAATGTGGGCAGACCACATCTGCAAGCTGGGAAGTGCCAAGCAAACCTGGAGGCAGTGCTGGCCATGGGCAGCATCACATCACTATAGCAGCTCTGCGCCTGTGACTACCCAAATGGCAATCCTCGTTATTCTAGAAAAAGATTGCTCTCTGGTCGCAGGCATCAGTTTTGTTCCATTGTGTACTGGTAAGAAAAAACAGGTGCCAGCTAAGCAGCCAGCTAATCTATTTTTATAGATTTAGGTCAATTGTCCTGTAAATTGACATATTTAGAGTTTGGGAGAATAGGATAAAGAAAATTTTGGTTATTCCCAAGTCAATTCCTTATATTTTAATTATGGCTATTGCATCACTCATTTATCTTGTGATTCAAGATATCAAATAGGGAAAAAAGGTTATGCAGAATGTCTCATCCCAAGATAAGAAGTCCTTTTGTGTGTGTGGTTTTCTGTGTTAAATAACTGTGGTACTACTGCATCTTGCTGTTCACAGGCCGTACATTTAGTGTAGTACCAGCCATAACAGATTGATGTAACCTGGCTATCCACCATGGGATGGAGACTTCAGGAGAGCACAAGAGCCCATTCCAACACAAACAGAGGGAAAAGAAAGACTGGGCTGGTGCAATCACCGGCAAATACTGGAACAACTGCTCAGATTTCAGGAATGCAATTAATTAATCACTACTAAGTACTCTAAAATCAAGTGAGCCATATCCCAGCTAATAGTCCACCATATAACGTTCACAGCACATAAGTGTCAGGCAATGAAGATGCTCGTTACAGCGCCAGAAATAATATTTCCAGCAAAATATTATATTTAAAGATGAAGTAATTATATGGCACGGCAACAAAAAAAAAGAGCTGTATAGTTTACAGCTGCTGAAAATCTGTAAGAGTATATTTCCAAAAACTACTCCCGATGCTGGAGAAGTGCATAAACAATGAAGGATTAAGCACATTTCTTCACTGTGTATCACTGAGGGGTAGACTTTGCTATACAGGTTTAATACATGCATCATATGTAATTAGACTGGAACCACGATAGGAAATAAGAACATACTAAGGGAAAAGAAAGTCCTTTGGTTCTTATTCAGGAGCAAGCAGTTTGTAAAACATTATTTGTAATATATAAAACAACTGCAAAGGCCCTTTAAGATCATTGTTTTACAAGCTGTAGGTTCTCTTAGCTAAAGCTAGGAAAAAAAAAGAAGAAAAGAAAAGCTAAAACCAGAGAGAAATTATAATCAGAAACAAGACAGATATTTAAGAGTGCATTTGGAGAAGTACCCAGTCACAAGCTCATTATAAAAAGAGAAGAGTTCCAAGTCAAAAGCAAGGCCCACGGTGACTTCAGCAGAAGGCAAGACCTGGCTCACCACGGCACAAAATGAAACAAAGCGGTGGCACTTTGCTAGCATGCATCAATTTGCTCATATTTACATCACGCTACAGATCTAAAGTGCCATTGAAAATTCATTTAAATTAATGACTCCGCAGTCATCACTTTCACAGACAGTAATGAACCTTAAGTGAACCTGTGTGGGCATATTCAGAACCGCTTCGTTTCTGGAGTACCTTGGTAACTCTAAACTAGATATTATAATGGCTATTGACTTGCTCAAACTTAGATTATTAGGCTAGATTTTCAGCTGGTTGGACTGGCACAGCTCCAGTGATGTCCATTTACACCAACTGGCTCATTATTAATTCAAGGTCTTATTTGCTCCTTAATGAACACTTCCACCAGTCACCTTCCCAGTGGCAGCTTTAACCGCTCACAAGTTACCTCCACGGTGAGAATCATCATACTCAGAAACTTGGTTATCAAAACATAATGCTTTTTCTCTCCTTTTATGAGACATACTTAAGGTAAACTTTTTTAATCATTTACAAAATCAACTAAAATACCTCCTGTACCATAATTAACTAACTAGAATTATGCTCTCTTACAGCATCATTTGCATATAAATATGAAAATGTTACAACCCTGAGGGGACATTAAGGACAAAACCAAACAAGAATGGAATTAAATGGCTAAGGGGACAACACAGCCCCTCCTTAACGAGCCTCTTATATCTTTGTCTTTTTTTTCTTGCTTATTGTCATTTCTGTCCTTTATATTCATATATATTTTCCTTCTCTATTCTGTTGTTTTACGATACTACACACATATTTTTAAGGCCTTTATTTGTTTTGGTCTTGTCAATTTTAAGATGCTATCCCTGCATTTCTAAATCAAATCAGGCTACAAACGTGTCACTAAGTTTGTGCATCCTCATTTAACACACTACAGTGGTCAGAAACACGGTTAACTGGAAGTGTGACAGCCTGTTCCCTCAACCTAGCAGCATGCACAATTTGTCACAAGGCCTTCACAAATTGAAATTATGCAATTTTTCAACCAGAACTCATTAAATTCACTTATTTTTCAGTGGAGGAGACAACTGTCAAACACACAAATGAGAGCAACCACTATTTCTGATTACTGTTGTTACTAGGATTAAGTAATTGACTTTAAATACATAAAAGATATTTAGGAACTTGATGAAACTAGATTATCTCAGCAAGAGCCTGAGGAACCTTAACGGCAGGCTCAGTAATTCAGCTGTGACATGCGGTAGGTAAAAAATTTTATTCTACACTGCCCTTTTGGGGGAAAATATCCTTCAAAGTGGTGATAGTGAAAATTATTTTCTCAGGGAAACAAACTGGTAGTCCACAAGACTGGCAATCTGACTCTGAAAATTCCAGTATGTAGGTATACATAAATAACTCCTGAGTAACTCAAAACAAAAACACTCAAGTTTATAATAACCCAAAGGAACAAAGATTTGTAATCAGCTAAGTACTGATTTTCCTTAACAACTGAGCAGGCCACTGAGATGCTCTGGTGTCACCACGATGTTGCCTATCGAATGCATCTTTGTGTATCTTGCTAAGGAAATTTACTGCTTACCTGGAATAAATCCCGCTGACCATGTTGTGCTGGAAAGAGAGTTCTGCTGTGCTGGGTCCAGCAGCTTTGGAAATGAGCAATACGACCAAACCTCGCATCTGTAAGTTGTTTCGGCTGTCATACACAAAACCCCTGCAAAAAAGGGAAAGAAAAAAAGCACATTTTTTACAACCTATTTTCACTGGTTATACCGAAGTGGAAAAGAAAGACTCAGACCTCCGGCTGCTATCAATTTCATCAAGTCTATAAGCTTCACATTTGCATGAAAATACACTGCAATTATTAATCATGATCTTTTGTCATCCTTCACCTATAACTTACAATGGAATACTAATATTGAAGAGCAATGTAAGCAATCAGGATTAAATCTTGTTTATTTCCAAGCAGCAGTGTATGTCCTGCATTTCATGTCATGTCATGAAAGGAGCATTTCAAAATAATTCAATGATATATTGTATCAGAAACATAAGAGCCTTCAGTTTGTTTTTTGAAGTACAGGAAAACCAAAAGAAGTCTCACACTTCAAGAGAAGAAAGGGAAAATTGGAAAAGTACAACCAAAGTCTATAACCTGTTGAAATAAAAGTGTTTAGATCAGAGTGGTTATGACCAGACGACACAATACATACAACATGTCTAAGTACTTCAGGAATAGACTTTGCAGAAACTGATGAAAACAGTGAAATAAAAGCTAAAATTGCAAAAGATAAATGAAGCAGAGAGAGGCTGTTTTAAACAAAGGAGCTGTTTCAAATGATGCACCTTCAGATTTGGGGTCAGTAGGAAGCCTGTTCACTCTGCCCGCAAAAACATCTGCTGAAAGCAATTCTAAGTGACCACTTAGATGCACCAGCTCAGAAGTTAGTTTATTCTAAAGTAAGCTTTGCTTTCCTTTTGACAGCAGCGTCTCAAATTGTATTCTTCCTGTCCTTGTCGAAGTTGCTTTCTACTTCCTACGACCATCAATAAGGCTAAGAGAGGATAATATATTCCAGATGCTAATAGAAATGAGTTTGCAGATTTAATAAGAGCTCTTACCTCCAATATTAAAATATTTGCTAAGCAAATAAGAACTACATCGCAGATTACAAAGCACTTCAACCCATTTTGTTCCAGTATATAATTTTAACCTTAATCACCGAAGGAGATCAAAACAAACCTGTCTTTAAGTCAACTACCTGAAAGGATCGGCGGTCTACCTTGCAAGTATATTTGAATAACATGGAAAAACAGTGGATGCAACCTACAGTTTCATTTGTTGTTTTTTTTTGTTTGTTTGTTTGTTTTTCATTATGTTTATTCTTGCATCGTGAAGTGGTATATCTTCTATTTCATTTAAGCAGACATAAAAACATTTTTTAACGTCATAATTTAAATACTATTTAAATACTAGTACAAATAACCGCTCGAGTTCTTCTGTTGAGCCTTTACAACTTCTCCCACAGCACTTGGGAAAGGACCAAAGCAACCCAGGTGGCTGCAGAAGCTCTCAGAGGAGAACAAGAGGGTCCACCCGTGCTGGGCAGTGCTGCATAGCTTGGCGTTGTCTTAGCTCCAGACCAGCACTGCTCCCCTTGGGAAAGGCGTCAAGCTCATGAAGGCATTCTCCATGCAACCACATCCTACAAAGGATGATCAATGAAATGATCAATGAAAGAGGAGGACCGTATGCCTTCCTACCACAACCCACAACATTTCTAGCCCTGGTTGGGTCTAGCTAGCCAAGCCAGGGCATGGCTTTTCGTTCTGTGCCCTTCTAACCTGCCCACACCTTACAGTTGGCTGAAGGATCCTGGCCAGCTCCGTGCCACCATGCTCACCGCAACACGCACCAGGATGGTGTGAGAGAAGGCGTCGACTTCGGCCACATTTCCAACAGAGAAAGCAGGTGTTTATGGCTTAAGGTGGCCAGAGTTTGGTTCAACTAAGTCTTAAGAACCAACAGGACAGCAAACATTTATGGGCAAAGCTGAAACTTAGCCAGAAGCACGCGCTAGCCACCGGTCTTAATCTGCAATAAATTACATATTAGCCTCTTAACAGAGCAGTGAAATGAAAATAGCAATTAACCCACTGCCTTGCTTGCTATCATGAAATAAACTAATCATAATGTTTCAGAAAACTGGGAGAACACGGGTAATCAATAGTTCAGTGCCAGACAAAATTCAGCGCAGGCTTTAGTGTTTAGCATGAGAGACTCCACAACACCCCCCGAGGAGCAGCCACGTCGCAAAGTCATCGGCTCCGGTCCTACCCTCCCCAAAGATCTTATAAAAAAAACCTGAATGCAGCAGCAGAACAGCTGGTGAAAGGCAGATGCTGTACAACTTCCCGGAGCAGACAATGATTTTGTTTTGTACACCGCTCACGCAGAGCTTCCCAACCATTCAAAGCCAGGAGAGCTCACGCGGCTCAGCGCAGCTCCCGAGAACAAGCGGCACGGTGCTGCAGTGTGCAGCTCTGCCCTGCTCACCAGGTCCGTGCAGAGAGGGGTTTTGACGTGGGGAAAGCTGCTTGCCTTTAGCATCCTGGAAATTCACACCTTACATACCTTAACTCTTGCCAAGCACATGGACGAATTGCTTTTCTTACCATATTCCAATAGATAGTTAACAGAACACACCCAAGACAGTCAAACATCTAAAATTCTGCACATTTCCAAAATTGGAGCCACAACAAACATTAAACTATGCAAGAAAAGAAAAAAATAGAAAATATACATAATGTAACGTATACACATGTATGTCCTGTAGTCAGAATTCAGGATAGTTTGTGGTGGTGTAAGTACTTCTCCGGCCTGAACTCCAGCTGACCACATTACTCACAGGCAAACAAGTTACACAGATGATGCAACTGAATACAAATAGAGTCCTCATATTTCCTCAAATTTTTAATTTATTTATTTATATATATTTTTTTTACAATTCTATCATTTTTCAAAGAAAAATGGCTTTAGGAAAAAGAAAAAGCCTACATACATTCCCTGGTAAAACTGGAGTGCTTTACTTACTAAGTGCAGGATTGCATGAGAAGTGAGTGGCACTTTTAAAATATATACGTGTATATATATAAAACAAATTATGCTGATACTTTTATAAAGCCGGAATGCTTCATTTATTCATGCTCAGTGCTCTACAGTTTTCCAACAGACGTGTTATTACAGAAAGTAGGGAAGAAAGCTGTCCCCCGCAAGATTTTTAAGTGCTGACCTTTAAATAAGCCACTGCCCAAATAGCCAATGGTGGAAACGAAGCACTGCAGTGCTTTCACCTGAACCAAGCCTCGGTAAGGAAGAGCAGACAGTGACCTGTGCTGAAAATACGTGAAGAGATTCATAGCAATAAGGAACCCAGTTGTTTCAGAGCTGCAGCCCCGTTTGTCAGGACACCTCGCGTTATTAGCAGGACATCACTAACGAGAAGTGCAGATGTGGTGGGGAAGAACAGAACAGAAAAAGTAAATGGTAAATGGTAAAAAGTAATAAGGTGCAATGCGTCTGTCATTTCTACACCTAGTCATATAGCCTGTATCTAAACCTATATGGTTTGGATATATATCCAAACCCATATTCAAAGTCTAATTCCCTTCAAAACGGGACTGAAGTTGTGTTCCTGCCATGTAACATACCCCTACTAAAGCAAACCGCGTTAGACTTGAAACAAATAAAGCCTACGGTGATCATCCTTTAGAGGCTGGAAACTACTGCAGCTACTTGACATGGCTCCAGGGGTCACATTCACATTCAGAATTAAGCTCCCAAGAGATGTTCTGCACAAGTAGCAGCTACGCAAAAGTCTTCCAGATGGTGCAATTAGTCTTGATGGGTATGTGGCAGGAGACAGGTGCCTCTAGGGAAAAAAAGTGAACTAAAAGCAACCTGAGTGAAATTGTGCACACACACAAAAAAAAAGATGCATCAAGCTGAGACTCTCCTGGAAAACCTCTGCTGATCACCGCAAGTACATGCACAGGGTACCCTCGAAGAAACATGAGGGTAATTTTCTTACAGGCTGGGTACCTCGCAAATACCATACTTCATCCTCAGGGGACCAGATGCCAAAAAAAGGCAGGTAAGTCCAACACTGTGACTACCTGGTTTTGCTAAACATGAAGAATTTCAGGGGGAAGAGAGGGGGAAGCATTTACTCTAGATGGTACCTGTGTGACAGAATAACCCATCTGAAAACTGACAGATTCACAGTTTTAAATACAGAACACCGCTCCCAAAAAATTAATCTCACAGCACAGGGGAGAAGAGCCTAGCCCCGAAACATGCGCAGTGTGCCACTGTGCAGACACAAGAGGCTCACACCACCCACTCAAGCAATGACACTGGCTAATAGCTAATGTGCTGCAAATTACACCTCCTACTACCAGGGTCCGTCTGCTGCAGAGCATAAATCAAGCAAACATGAGCATTTCACTTAATGCTTTGTGTATTTTTCCACATGTGCAGCCATTTCAGTAGACTTTGCCATTAAAATATCAGCCTCAAATAATTGTTAGGTTTAACTCCAGTAATAATTCACACTTCTATCAATAAATAAACAAATAGAGCGTTTATTGCATGCACCGTTCCTATTTTTGAGCAATCAGTCAAATACTGTGAGGATTTAAATTTTTTTGCACTAATAGCAGTTCTAGTAAGAACAGCTTATGTTCTTATTTTTTCATTAAAGTCAGGATTCAAGCAATAGAGAAGAAACATGGCAAATACAACAATTACTGTAAAGAAGAGATGGACATAGGTGAAATATGGGAAGCGAAAAACCCAGCAACACAGGCAACCACAAAGTCAACTGACTGTGAAGGTGGGTGTAGCAGAAGAAAGCTTATCTATGTGGAGTAGAGCTGGCTCCAATTTAACCACTAGGCTATTAAAACAAACAAAAAAAATAAATCAAAATAGACATAGGGAATTTTATGGGGGGTCAAAAGGAAGGTGGTTAAATGCTTAGTCACGTGTTTTTCCTGTTTCCCAAATTTCTACCCGTTACCAACAAAGGCACAGGATGCTTCGTTTGTAGCTCTGCTGTCAGCTGTCCCCACCAGGATGTCCCTCTCCCATTGTCCAGGTACTCCAACCACTGGCCAGCTTGGCTAGAGGCTGAAGTGAGCAAAGTGCTGTGCTCT